TAAAGCGGGTCGGTGGTAGGGCTGGGCACCCATGCACGGGCATTCTGAGGTCCTCTGTGCAGGCTCCTGGCTGTCTTCTTGGGTCCCCTGATCTGCAGGGCACTCCTGTCACTTTCCATGCCCTCACTGCTGATCCTCACGCAGCATTTATTTGCTGCGTCCACATGGTCCCATGGTCAGAGCCCTGGGGAGGTGCCCGCCAGCCGGTCCTGGACCCTCAGCAGAGGCCGGGGCCTGGTGACTGTCTCTGGAAGGAACGTGCAGTGAAGGGCAGCGGCTGTGGGTCGTGGGCTGACTCTGGGGCTGTGGCAGTGGTGGGGAGCCTTTCGCAGCATGGGTTTTTCTCTTGGGGTCCACGTGAGGCAGACTGTGGCACCCTTGGAGGTTGCCGTTGAGAGCAGGCCAGCTGGTGACTGTTGGTGTCGTCCATCAGCTGGAGAGGAAGGATGGGAGCTCCTGCAGACAGGACCAGGTCGGCGTGGGCAGAGGCAGGGGAAGTGGAAAGATTGCTCGGGGACCAGGCTCCAGAGGCCTCAACTGCCAGCTGAAGCACAAGAGACTTCCTCAGAGGTCTCAGAGGTGTTCCAGGAGACACCAAGAGTTCATGTAGCTGGGGCTGTTGGTGGAGGCCTGTAATCTCAGCACTTGGAGGCTGAGGCAGGAGGATCACAAGTACCAACCCAGCCTGGCCAACTGAGTGACCTCGTGAGACCATGTCTCAAAGTAAGAAATAAGACAAAAGGGCTGGGGATGTAGCTCAGTGCAGAGGCCCTGGTTCCATCCCCAGTATCACAGAAAGAGAAAAGAGCCAGGGGTTTAGGTCAGTGGTTCTACCACCTGCCTCATAAGCACAAGATCCCGAGTTTGATCCCTGGTACCAAAAAAAACCACAAAAAGAGAAAAGAAAGAACTTGTACTTAAACATTTCCAAAGTATTCCAAATACCATGAAAAAGTGACAAAGGAGAAATGTACTATTTTTGTACTCTAAAAATCTTGTAGTATTGAGGAGTGAACCCAGGGACCTGGGGATGCTAGACAAGTGCTCTCCCTCTGAACTCTGCCCCAGTCCACCTGCCTCAGCCTTCCAAGCAGTAAGGTTACGGTGTGAGCCACAGAGCCCAGCTTATTAAAATACCATCTTCCTTTGGGTTCCGAGGTTGAGCTTTCCCTCTTTCCTGTCCTGAAGGCTGGGTTTGGTTCCTGGCCCAGCCCTGGCTTTGGGCTGAGGGGCAGAGGAGCAGCTTCCCTAGAACCGATGTCCAGCGGCCTTTCCTCCAGGAACCAGTGTCGGCCACAGGTAACCCAGGTGCGGTCTCCTGGGGCCTTGGAGTTGCAGGGAGGGATGGGCTTGGAGCTCTGTGCTGTGACAGAAGCAGGCACCTGCCAGCTCACTGCTGCGGCCCCTCCTGGCCCCGCCTGGTGGACAGCCAGCTTGGTTGGGACCCCAGCTCAGCTCTCGGGGAGGGCTGCATCTGACGCGTCCTGCAGAAACATGGCCCTGGCTGGCTGTGGGAAGTCCCCGTGCTGGGGCCCGGGACTCATTCTCTGGCCACCTGGGGGCAATAGTTTTCTCTCCCGGGACCTCGGTTTCCCCATTTCCTTGTAATGAGCCAGAGGAGCCCAGTGTTCTTCACCTTTGGCTCCCGGAGACTGGCGCAGGCCACAGGCTTCTCCCAGAGGAGTGCACACGTGAGGTGTGCCGACTCAGGAGGCGAGCCCGAGGCCTGCAGGGCCCTGGCTGCCACCCCTGCCGCCTCCCTCCAGCCTCACCTCCTGCCTCCTCACCCTGCCCTGCAGTGCTGCTGGCCTTGGCCCAGCCAGTCCCTGAGGTCCCTGCCCCTGCCCTGTGGGTCCGCCCGAGTCTCAGGAGAGAATCCCAATCCGTGTTTCTACACACCCACCCGGTGCTCGGCTTTCCAGGGCTCCTCCCAGGCAGGCCCACAGGGCGGCTCCAGCCTCTCTCCAGTCTGGTCTCTTTGTGCCTGCGCTAGCAGAGCCAGAACCCCACTGGGGACATTCCCATGGCGAGCGGCACTTCCTCCAATTGTTGCCTTTCTCCCGGGAGGGAAGTGACCACACAGACTTTCCTCCCTCAGGCAGGCATACGGCTTCGAGGCGGCTCCTGGGCACCGCCTCAGGGAGGCCTGGTCCCTGCTTCTGTGGCCACAGGGATCTGCTGCCTTCCCTTCTGAGCCTGCTCTGCTGTCTTAGAGACAGGTCCTCCCCCAGGAAGCGAGCATCGGCTGTCGGAGTGGACTCTGACCTGAGGATCCAGCACGTCCTGCACAGAGAGGTGGGCTGCCCCTGAAATTCATCACACTGCTGTAGCCGCCCGCTGACCGCTCCGCTCCTGTCACCCTCCCTAGTCAGCATGTCAGTCCTGTAGCACAGATGTCTGGGAAGGAACTGTTCCTTTTGTGGCAGACCTTGCTGTGACTAGGGGCAGGGCCAGGGAGGCCAAACGATCATTTTGAGGGTACAGGATGACATCCACACTCAGCATTTACAGAGAGTGCGGGACTCAGCGGCGGTAGCTCTTCTGTCCTGGGTGCTGTGTGCAATAGATTTTAAACATCTTGTGCCGCCGCTAAGTTACCCTGTGAAGTAGAGGGCATAACTGCACACATTTTCACATATGGAAAAATAAGGTTCGGAGAGGTAATGTTCCTGGCCCAAAGTCGCCCACACAGATTTGGACTGAGCCGCCGACCTCCATGGCCAGTTTCTCCACTGCCCTGGCTGGGCTGGTGACCTTGACCCTTGCACCTCCTTGAGGCACCCATAACATGGGAAGGGGCTGATCTTCCAATGTCTATGGCCCTGTGGCTCCAAATCAGCGATCTGGGGCTTGTGGAAGCTCAGGACGTGACTGGTGACCGGGTCAGGTGTGGTCAGATTGACATCAGCACGGGCGTCCACCCCCTTCCTGGGGTATGTGCCAAAGGCTTGGATGCAGCGAGCCTTCCACTTCTGTGACGTTTCCTTTGGCTTCGTCCGTCTGCTGGAGGCTCGCTCATGTAGTCTCCCTAGGGTGTGAACTGGAGGTGGGTCACCTGCCCATTTGGATTGCGAGCAGACTCGCCTTTGAAGATCTCCCTGATGATGCTTGTCCCGAGCTAGGATTTGGAGAGGAGCCCTTAGATGTGGGCCGGTCTGCTGTCTCCCTTCACCCCCTCCCCAGCAGTTCACATTGAAATCACTGGGGACCATGATGGAGAGGGACCAAGGCTGCACTCTCCCCAATACTGTCCTGCCGCGGAGTCCTGGTTTATGTGCAGGGGCCCTCAGGAAGTGGGACCTTTGGAACTTGGGGTGCATCTGCCCCTGGAAACATTGAGGAATGTGGCAGCCAAGAAGCGGCCAAGCTGGACCTCAGCCCCCATCCTGTCACTGCTGCTCAGACTTGGGCCACCACGAGGAGCCACAGACAGGTGCCGACGTCGGCGCTTTCCAGTGTGCTGGGGGCCAAAAGGGGCGCTCTCCTCTGTCCTTCACGTCTTTATCCGCTCACCTGTCCTCCTGTTTGTTTGCTCAGCAGAGTTGCTAAGCACCTGTTGTATGCCAGGTACCCTGCCTGCCCAGCAGCATCCTAAGGTGCCTGCCAGATGAGTTAACATTTTCTTCAGGTAAAAGGAGAAGTTAAAATGCAGCCTCACAATCAGGCCTTTTTGATCCGCTGTGGCTTTGAAGATACATTGTACTGAACTTAATGCGGAAGAAAGGTCAGATAGCGTATCTGCTGTTGAAAACCGATGTAATGGAGATTTGTTTTTGTTTTTGGTTTTTTTTGTACCAGGGATCGAACTTGGATCCTTCTGCTTACAAGGCAGGCGGTGGAACCACTGAGCTAAATCCTCGGCCTCTGGAGATTTGTTTTTTTCAATGTGTTCTCTTTGATTCCCTGGATCTTTTTTTTTTTTTTGGTAGCGCGGATCAAACTCAGGACCTTGCACTTGCGAGGCAGGCGGCGGAACCACTGAGCTAAATCCCCGGCCCTCTCTGGATCTTTTTTATTGTTGTTTTTAAATATTGTCTTCAAATTTTCCTCCAGTTCTAGAACTTGCTCTCGCATCCTACCATCCAACTCCACAGAACAAGTCAACATTGGTGTCTTCAGTTACACTGACAGAAGCCAGAAGTCTCCCATCCGAGGCGGTTTAGCTTCCCAGCCTCAAAGTCCCAGGATGAAGGTGATGAGGGCCTCCTGGGGCCGGGCAGCATGCTAGAAGATGCTGTTTCTAGAAGATGCTGTTTCTTTTCCCTGACCCTTGCTGCAGCTGAGGATGCCAGGCTGTCATGCTCTTGGCAGAGCCCAATGTTGGGCCTCAGAGCTGACATTCGTACCCGTGCGGCTTAGGGGGTTCCAGAAGAGCTTTGCTAACCCATCTCTGAGGTTGAAGTCACTTAGATCTCTCGTCCGCCTTTCCTTCCCTTTCACCAAAGGATATCTGTCTTCATGTCCCCGCTGTCTTCCTGCAAAGCCATTGTTCAGGGTTTAGAGTTGTGACACCTCCCCAGCAAAGGTGACCCCAAAATGGAGTGGGAGTTTGCAGCTCAGGCTTGCAAACCATTCACTGCATTTGTGCCCTGTGTTCTTTACGTTGGGAAGTGGATGGAGTGTAGCGAGCCTTTTGCTGTTTGGTTTCTCCCGTAGCAAAGCAGCATTCATGAAATCTTTTCTCTGACATATTTGCAGTATGTGGTGACCTAAGAGCAGGATTCTGCCCCAGAATCGGCCATGGTGACTTTCAGCCTCGGGGTCACCTGACTGCCACCTCTCCGGGCAGTGTGACTGGGAACACGGTCCATTTTCCGAGCCAGCTGCCAGTGAGGATGAGTAATAGCTCAGGGCCGAGGAAGGAGCTCTGGAGTAGCCGTCAGAGACCCAGGGGAGGGTGATAACAAACCCTTTCTTCTTGTTTCCTCTTGGAGGAGGAGTGTGAAGGGCGGAGGCAGGACTTTCAGAGCAGAATTTCTCCAGTCTTCCCCAGGAGGCTGTGCCGGGCTGTGTGGCTGGTCGAGCTGAGGTGTCGCAGAGATGACACCCCTTTCGGCCAGCACCTCCATCCTTATTTGCTGTGTGACAAGGACACTAGGGCCTGGAGGGTCCTGTGACCTCTGGCTTTAGAATGGGCAATGCTGTTGAGAAGCAGAAGCCCCTGAGGCGAAGCGCTCTGTGTCCCTGGAAACAAGGTAAGGGCCCCGGCCGCCTTTCCCGGGAGAAGCAAGTGGCAAGGGGCAGGTGTCTGGGGCCGGAGCCGAGCCTGCTGGGGCCTCCTTCCTGTCAGCAGGTGCCTGCAGCGGGTGGCGCAGAGAGAACCAGCAGGCAGCTATAAGAATTGGAATGGCTCCGATCCTGTCCCAATGCCCGGGCTGGCCCGGTGAGCATTCAGCCCTCTTGGGTGTTTGTTCAGGGCAGCATGTGTCTGTGTGTTGGGATCTTCCGGTTCTGAAGGCATTTTCCAAGTCAGAGTTTAGGTCTTTGGTGATATTTTTGGTTTAGAGAATGTTGTGAATAGCTTTCTCTCAGAGTTCCAGGTGCCTTCTGTAAGAGCATCTCTTCCCCACCCACCCTGGATGCCCGTGGTGCAGGCAGCAGCCTTTCCTGACTCTCCTGTCTCGAAGGGGCCCTTGTTGGGCTCAGCTCTGAGGGGAAGCAGCGGGCCGGAGTGGCCCCAGGTGCCGTGGACCCAGGCAGATTCTGTGCACAAACAGTTGCGCCTGGCTGCAGGCCGGAGGTGGCTCAGCAGGACCTACCTGGCCCCTCCCTCCACTGGCCAGAAGCAGGTGCAGGAGCTTCGGTCTGTGCAGGACCGCGCCTTTGTAACTGCACATGTGGCTGTGTGTTCACTTGGGAACATTAACCATAGGCAGCACTTGTGGTCAGGTTACAGAAATGGCCCCTTTAAAAGGAGAAGGTGCCAGCTCACTGTCAGGTCAGCCTTTCTGCCTCTTGAGCCGTTCTTCAGTGGGACGGTCAGTTTGAGAAGGACACTCGGCAGCCATCCCCGAGGATCCTGGCGTAAGCAAGTGGCTGTCAGAGACTTCTGGGCGCAGTTGGTGAAGTTGGCATATGAACTAGACAGGAGGTTATAATGGGGAGTCTCCCCCCATCCCCCTCCCTCCCTCTACCTCTGAGCCATAGCTGGGGACCTGCTGCTTTTCTCAGGGTGGCTGCGCGGGAGAAGCACACACTTTTACCTTAGTCAGGCTGAGGCAGTTAGGCCTGCAGAGTCAGCCTGTCTACACTTTGTCTTAAGACGGCTTAGCAAAGTATGTATGTATAAGCAGATGAGGACCTTCAGGTAAACAAAGTAGGTTCCATTTAACAACTTTGTCGTACTTTCTTAATATATTTTCACACTTGAAAAAAATGAGTCTGGCATGGTTGGTGGCTTTTACCTGTAATCCCAGGCTGAGGCAGGAGGATCACAAGTTAGACCCCCGCCCGGGCAACTTAGCAAGACCCTTTTTCCACATAAGAAATAAAAATGGGCTGGGAATTGTAGCTGAGCGTGGAGGCCTGGGGCAAACCTTAGCAGACACGGCTAGCAGGCAGGTGGGTGGGAGCGCCCTTCTGAAAGCCGGCTCAGCTGGTGCTTCTCCAGCCGCCAGCAGGAGGGTGGCACTGAGCGCAGCTCAGAAGCTCCGCGGAAAGGCACTTGCCCAGCGTGCCACAGCCCTGGGTTCTCAGACAAAGAGCAGGATTTCATGCATCTGCTGACCTTTGGATTATTCTGGTTCTCCTTAGAAAATGTCAGAGTGAAAACTTTGGGAATTTCCCGCTGGGAGCAGCTGGGCTCACGGACAAACTACAGAATGGCTCTCTGAGCTGTGGCGTGTAGTTGTGCTCGTGGCTGACGTGAGAGGGCCACAGTAGTGCTGTTGGTGTGAAGGATTGCAGGGTCCACGGTGGATGGGGGCCCAGAGACAGCTGCGGTTTCTATGCCCACAGGGCCCACTGACAGGAGGAGCACAGCTTGGCCTCGAAGGGCTTGTTCCTTTGCACAGGCAGGCCCTGAGATGCTTTGTGTCTAACGCCTGTTTCAGCATTGGCCACAGGTGGCACACACCTATGGCGCACACTGAGGAAACTGAGGCAGGAGGATCTCAAATTCAAGGCCAGCCTGAGCTACAGAGTGAGTTCAAGGCCAGCCTACTACAGAGCAAAAGGAAAACAGGATAAAGCTGGACACCATGTCCCAAGTAGCATGATGCCCTGCTGGGGAGCTGCAGTGACAACAATGTAGAGCGTGCCCTCACAGTTCATCTCGGTCTCTTTGCCTTTACGTTGTTTATTTGGAAATGGGATTTTAGAACATTTAGGAACAGGACTTTTAGGGGGTGGTGCTGGGGGTGGCAGCTCAGCCCTTGTGTGTGCTAGGCAAGCACTGTACCATGGCGCTACATCCATGGCCCCCGGGAGCTGGGGGACCCAAGGACCGGCCTGGCTGCAGTCCCAGCACCTTTTGCACAGCCCCTCGGTGGGTGGATGATGGCTGCAGCCAAGCTGCAGTACAGGGTCTACGGAGGGCCAGCAGTGGGGGCCCGGCATGTTGCCTTGGGGTTTGCTGCAGCCCCAGGACCCCGGCTTTGGCCCTGCGCCCCACCCCATGCCAGCTGGAGCTCCGAGCAGACAGACCTGTCAGAGCCAAGGGCGGCAGCGGCGGGAAGGCCAAGCTCTGGGTGCGGTGTGAAGGTGGATGGAAGGGAAATCAGCCGTTACCTGCCCTGCAGATCCGTGTGCTGGGCCTGGAAGTTGGAAACAGGAGGAGCAGAGCATCAGAGAAAGCTGGCTCCCTACCTCTGTCTGTCTGCACTGCGCCTGAGCGTCCCCTGCTGGAGAGAAACTTCTTGGTGGCTTCAGCGGCACAGGACCTGCACTCACAGGGACCAGCACTGTGTTCTCCCAGGGCCCACAGTGGAAGAAGAATTCTTTGTGTTTCCATAGGTCTGGCTCATGGGCATTGCTGCTAAGGGCTCCAGCCTGCACCGTCCAGGACCCCAGGGCAGGAGTGGCTGCACATGCTGTGGGAGGGAGGGTAGGTGGGACCTGAAAATCTTCACCCTCAGCCTTTCCCTGCCCAGAGATCCAGGAAAACAGGCGCCCCCTGCCCAGCAGCGGGGAACTTGCAGTCAGTTTGCTATTGATGACTGCTCCCACTGGGAAAGGCTGTTTCAGGAAAGGCAGTGCTTTGTTGTTGCTTGGTGACCCAGGTATCTGGGGAAACTGCAGTCGAGAGCTAACCTGAACCACAGGCCTGTGATCTTGTCCCAGAAGGCAGGCGGGCAGGCCTTCTTCTCTCTCCTCGTCTTGGAAATAATTTGAAGGGCTGTGTACTGTGTTGATTTAGGCTCCAGGAAGTATAACAGTACCAAGGTTTCCTTGGGAATTAAAACTTGGAGCAGTAATTGGAAATTGAATTGTTACCTCCTTCAAAAATCCAGCAGCTGGCGGCCATACCGCCCAGCCTGTTAAGTGGCAGTGCTGGTGATTTGCGTGTCCGCACACGGCACATGGCATGGGTGTCGAGAGGGAGAAGGGCTGCCTGAGAGCTGCCTCAGCCGGCGGCCAGGCCGTGGGTTGTTTGGCAGCAGCAGTGGGCTGGGCTGGGCAGGGCTCTGCCTCTGACACACACACACACACCCGTTCCAGTGCTGCAGGGTGAAGTTGGAGACCTGGGTAGCAGCCAGCAGAGGTGCTGAGACTCGCCCTCTCCCGAGGCAGCCTCCAGCGGCAGCTGGCAGCCCACGTGGCAGGCAGTAAATGTCGATCCCGGATGTGTGCTGGTGATGTGCGCTGGCTGGTGGGGCCTGCACTGACCACCCGCCTTGCCTTCTGGCCAAGCCTGGTGGGCAAAATGCTGTCCATTTCCAAGCCTATTTGTGGGCTCTGCTTTAGAGTGATGGTAACACCCACCTCAGAGGACTGTTGTGACAACCAAAGAGATGATTCGTGCACAGGGTGCTGGGCCCGGCGTACAGTAAGCGTCTAATAAGTGACAGCAAGCTTCTCACCGCACGTGGCAGAGTAGAAAGAGTGGACATGGATCGGAGACCTGGTTCTGCCCGCCCCCCGCTGGGTGTGTGAGTTCGGGGTCCTCAGCCTGTCTTCTCGCAGATGGCTGGTGGCCGGAAGGGTCCCCTTGAGGTCTGAATCAGTGACCAGCAGTCAGGTCGCTGTGGTTCACATCTGTGCACTCTTGGTGCATTTAGTACCTCGTGCGAAGACGTCAGTGTACCTGAGTGAAGGATGAGCCATGGGCGAGGGGCCCTCAGTACCTAGGGCAGCTCAGGACCCCCGGGAGTGGCATATTAGTGTTGCAAGGCTGGCTCCGCTCACTGTTACACAGTGGTTAAGAGCTTGGACTTGGGAGCCCAGATGCCAGGGTTGAATCCTTGTTCTTTCTCCCTCTTGACCTTGGGCAAGTTTCTTAACTTCTGGGCCTCAGTTTCCTCATCCTTGAATAGAACCTGCTCCAGAGAGTGACGGGTCAAGGAGCTTGGAGCCTGTCTGGAGTTAGTGTACAGCCAGTGTACTATTTTAAGTTATGTTGTATTTACTTGAAATGATGTTACTTTTTGGGGCAACCAGGTCAAACCCAGGACATCCCCAGCCCCGCTGTTACCTTATTCATGGAAAATACAGGGGAACATTGACATGATGCCCAGAAGAAAGCACATGCTCAGTGTCTGAACCTAATGGGCCTAAAAAGTAGAGAACAAAGCATTAACAGGGCGTCATTCCTCTGCAGAGCTGCTGGACACACGTGTGTTTGCACATGGTGGTGAGCATGTGCAGGTAAGTCTTTAATTCTGTGTGGTCATCGCTGCTTCGGTAGTGGCTGACGTTCGGTCATGTTCATGCTCCATGACTTACTGATCAGTCTCCTGCTCCTGGTGTTGGAATTACCTCCCCTTCTTGCTGTTGTAAGTAAGGCAGCAGGGATCACCTCCGCTTGTGATTCTGCTGGGTGATTTCCTTCAAATGAGTTCCCTGTATGAAGTTCCTGAGCCAGGCCACAGGAATGGCCTTCAGGGTCTTGCCGTGAGTCTTCCCAAAGTGCTGTGTCTGTTAACACTGTCGTGAGAGGTGCATAATTCAGCAGTTAGCCACAGCACATCCGCATTGATATTCCCACTTTGAAATGTTTCTTCGTGAGCCATGCTGCCATACTGACGAGTTACCTGAT